AAGTAGGTATGATCTGCAAAGTAGGTCTGATCTGGGTCCTAAGCTAGTGGGTTACCTCTGCCATCTTTAACCTGTGGCTCCCATCTCCTGGCCTGAGGCTATTCCATTTCCCAGGCTGAGGAAATGGGGACGGAAAGATGAGATGGCAAAAGAGTGGACAGCAAGCGGCTTTCTTGGCACACATTTTTTTCCGTTCATGTTACATTGGCCATAATTTTGCCACATAACTACACTTTAGCTGCTAGAAAAGGCAGGGAATTTAGTCTTAAGTTGGACAGCCATGGGGCCAGATAAAACTCAAATGTGGAAAGGTGGGGGAAAGGGGAGAGGTCTATTAATAAAACCAAAGAGAGAAAATGGATGTTGGGGTAGAAACACTTGTCCCTACCACAGTGTGTTTTGGAGGAAAAAGGAGCAAAAAGAAAATATATTTCACAAAATATAAACAATAGGGATATGAGCTGTATCTGTTAGATTTTTCTGTCTCAAACTTAGCACTTAAAATATGTATTTGCTCAGAATTCAATGGATTGGGTGGGTTAGGCTCAGCTGGGATGGTTCATTTCTGGTCTGTGTGTTTTTGGTCAGGCTCAATCACGTGTCAGATGGCTGACAATAGCATCATTGGTATGTCTTGTAGTTTCCTGGCTCTTGGCAGAGGAAAAGGAGGTACTTGGCCATATGCTACTCATCAGCAGGTAAACCTAAGCTTGTTTACATGCTATTGGCCACAGGGTTACCAAGAGCAGCAAGGGAGGGTACTGTGCATGGTACTTTCGTTTTCTTTCTTTCTTTCTTTCTTTCTTTCTTTCTTTCTTTCTTTCTTTCTTTCTTTCTTTCTTTCTTTCTTTCTTTCTTTCCTTCCTTCCTTCCTTCCTTCCTTCCTTCCTTCCTTCCTTCCTTCCTTTCTTTCTTTCTTTTTAAATTTATTTCTGAGAGAGAGAGAGAGAGCATGAGCAGGGGAGGGTCAGAGAGAGAGGGAGACACAGAATCTGAAACAGGCTCCAGGCTCTAAGCTAGCTGCCAGCACAGAGCCTGACAAGGAGCTCAAAGCCACGAACCGCGAGATCATGACCTGAGCCAAAGTCAGACGCTCAACCGACTGAGCCACCCAGGCACCCCTGCATGGTACTTTTCAAGGGTCTACTTTATCACAGTTGCTAATATTCTATTGGCAAAGCAAGTCACATGGCCAAGTCCAGAGTCAAGACATAAAGAAATAGATACCAGCTCTTAATGGGAGTTGCAAAGTCACATCAAAGGGACATGCATATAGGAAGAAAAAGAATTTCTGACCATTTATGCAAATATCTACTATGAAAGCTAGACTCGAAGTATATACACACAAAAGTATCACACAGAATATCCTGCAAAGCTTTAAAACTGTTCTAAAATTGTTGGCAAAATTTTGTAAAGGGAATGATTAAATATATTTTATCTGTAACATCATGAAAAGTACAAATCCAAGTATAATGAACCATTTTCCCTCTAGGAAATAAAATAAGCTCTTTAGGGTGCCTGGGTGGCTCAGCCAGCTAAGCATCTGATTCTTGATTTTGGCTCAGGTCATGATCTCACGGTTTGTGAGTTTGAGCCTTACATCAGGCTCTGCACTGACAGTGTGGAACCTGCTCAAGATTCTCTCTCTCCCTCTTTCTCGGCCTCTCTCCCTCTCTTTCTCTCTTTCTCTCTCACTCAAAATAAATACACTTAAAAAAAAGTATTAGAGAAGTATTATGAAAACAAAAATGACACATCTGGGTAGCTAGATTGATATTCCCCAGAGAAGGTATCTTTTGAGCTTACTGCATAAAATTATATTAGCCCTAATGAAACTCAGAGAACATTTTATATCTCTCCTCATTTAATTCTCTAATTCCACAGGCCTTACTCTGGTTTCTCTTAAGATCATATAAATCTTTCGCCTTTCAATTCCACAGGCCTTTATTGTGTGCCTACTGCATACTATGCCCCGTGGCAATTGTATAAAGACAAAGAATCTTGTAATATTATGAGTTTGCACATTTTTAAATTTTTTCTTGTTAAGTCATTAAAAACAAGAGTTTGGTGAAATTGCTTCCTTTTTTTGGATAGGAGAACTAAATAAGAAGTGTAACTTACTGAAACTATCCAAAGATGCAGTGGCAGGAGCCCAGGACAGAGTCCAGAGCTGTCCTCGCACTGTGTTTGGGCACTATAGATGGGAAGAAGGCAAGCAGGACAGAAGAGGAGGAGATGTCTTATCATAGACATTTTTAGATGCAAAACTGTGATCATAAAGTAACAGATGAAAGTAGTAAAGTTAACTCTATGTGGTTAGCATTATAATATGCTTCTAGGGGCACCTGGTTGGCACCTGGTGAGTGTCTGACTCTTGACTTCAGCTCAGGCCATATCCCGGGGACGTGGGATCAAGTCCCACGTAGGGCTCTGCACCGAGCATGGAAGCTGCTTAGGATTCCCTCTTTGTCCTTCTGCCCCCTCCCCCACTCATGTTCACTCTTTCTCTAAAATAATAAATAAATAAATAAATAAATACTATGCTTCTAGAAGCTTCCCATCTCACTCATAATAAAATCCATAATCTTACTATGCCCTACAAGAGCCTGAAAGACCTAGCTATTCCTCTGACCCTCATCTACCGTCTCCTTCTCCCTCTATCTGACCCCACCATCCTGCCTCATTGCTGTCCCTCAGAAACAGCAAGACATCTCACCTCAGAGCTTTCACTTCCTGTCCCCTCTGGCTGGACCACTTTTCTTTCCCAGATCTCTGGAAGCCTTTCCTCAAATCTTCACCTTACTAAGGAGGCCCTTCCTAAACATGTTATATAAAACACAACCTTCCCTCTACCTCTCATTCTCCATTTAACGTGGTCTCTATTTTGTTCTTAGTATTTATCATCACCTTACTTCACGTATATTTATTGTCTGTCTCTCCTACTGAGTATAGGCTCTTCAGGATATGGTCTGCTTTTGTTGGTTGCCTTATCCTTAGTTCCTAGGAGAGCGTCTGGCACACATTGAGGGTTCAGTAAACATTTGGTGAATTAATTATCTTTTATTTACATATATTATGTATTATATTATGTATCTATATCTATGCATATATATACAAATGTATATATGCATACACACTCACATATGTCAATGCAGGATAATTGCTACAGTGTGGTTCTGGGATTCATTAACAGTCTCTTTTCACAGGACATCACTGTCACTCTAAATTTCTTAACTTTATGTTTCTATCTGGTTCTGATCTCCTTTTGTTATTCTGTTGCAGTGATCACTGATTGGTTTCTGATTTATATTTTACACAGATTTGTAAATTTCACCTTCTTTTGTCAAACCAAGTATAACTAATTAAAGAGAATCAGCATGACCTTCAATTTCTTACATTGTCCTCTTTCAAGTAAAGATAATATCTGCTCTGAAATACATAGGTGCTGTCTATAATGTTATTTCTTTTGATCTAGATGGTTCCTTTCCTATTTGCTATTACACAAACCCAGGCAGTGATGAAAGACAGTGTTCTTCATACCACAGAGGCTGCATTATAAAATGATCCCCCAAATTCCTGCTATACAGTATCTATTGCAGATGTATAATGAAAAGGTTTAAATGCACCTTTCAATAGTTGGGTTCCTGTAAGTGAAGTAAGGCTTTCAGATTAATTATTGCTTGGAAGTGCCTTCCCCATTAAACAAAAGCTATTTGTTGTGTGATTGCCTTCTGCTTCTAAAATATCCTCTCACTTAAACACACGGGGACAAAACCTCACTGAGGGCTTGCCATTTAACCTTTCCACTCCTAGATTCATGTGGGCCACTGAGTACAGGTAGATCACCATGGAGAGAACTCCACAGGAACTCAGAAGGTGGGCTAAAAAAGCCAAGCAGGGAGAAAAAAAAAAAAACAAAAAACAAAAAACAACAGAAAACTGATGGACAGGTAGGAAAGTTTATAGCACAGCACCTAACTTCCCACCTCTCAATTTTAGCCCTTCTCTTTACCCCAACAGCCACTTCTCCAATTTAGACCCTTATAACCTCTTCCTCAACTATCCCAGTGGTCCTTGAATGTTCTCTCTGACTCCACTTTCTCTTTCCTGTAATTTCTCCTTGATAGAATCACCTGAAACTTTTCCCTAGCTCACAAATGGAATGATATCACTTCAACAACCTTCAGTGCTTCTTGTTGCTGGTAGAGTCAACCCCGTACTCCTTGCCAAAGCACTAAACAAACTTTTTGCTGATCTAATCTCAGGTCACTCTCCCAACTTCATTTCTCAGTACACACCCTCACTCAGCATTAACACTGTGGCTAAAAAGAGCTACGTCAGGTATTCTCTGAGTTTTTTCACTCTGCCTCCTTTTATTTCTTCTACCAAGAAACCCTTCCCATGAAAGCCAGTCTACTCCTCCTGGCCCAGACAAAATTGACCTAATTCATGAGACCTTCCTTGGTCCTTTCAGTCCAAGGAACTGGAACCAGTTGTTCCTTCCCTTGTGTTCCATCAGGTTCTACAATTTCTTTCTACTGAATATGCATCATACTCTTCCTTGTTATTTGGTATATGCCTTAGTCTCCCCCCAGTAAATTGACAGCTCTTCAAAAATGTATTCATCTTCATATCTCTTGTGGGGCTTATACCATGTGCTAGGCATGATTTCAAATGCTGCAGGTGTTATGAGTCATTTTTTAATCCTCCTAATAACCATACAAAGTAGATACTCTTATCCCCATTTCACAAATTAGTAGAACTAGGTACAGCCAAGTTAGGTAATTTGCCTACCCTCCAGGAGCCAGCAAGTGTTGGAGTCAGTCAAACTTACCCCAGAGAGTCCACACTTAAACACTATACTATGCATATATTTAAATTTATTCAAAGAAAGCATTTAAATAGTTCCAAAGAGTGATAGAAAATGCTATAAAAGAAGGTGATAGGAATATTAGGGAGAAATTCAGACTATAAAAGCCCAGAGAAGTTAAGCCACTTACCTGAGTTCACACAGTGAAGTACCAAGAGAGGCAAAATGAAATCTGGGTCTCCAGAGGCTGGCCTGGGGTTCTTCACACTAGATCAAGGCTGCCATGTGGTTCCTATGGAGTGTGTCTGGGCAACAAAAAAAGAGATGAGAAATATAATTGAGTTTCATGTAATTGTAAAAAGTAATGAGAAACTCAGGCAAAGATGGATCTCAAGATACTACAAACTCTCTAATAAACACATCTCTGCAGATGAATTTTCTTAAGCTCCAAAATGCAAAAACCTAAATCCATGGATCCAAGTAAATGCAAATGCAAATGGACGGAACCTAAAAAACAATAGCAAACTCCTTTTTAGGTACTTACCATATGTTGGGAGCTGTGCTAGCACTTGATCTAATTTCATCCTCACAACCAAGCCATCATAATTATTACTATTAGCCTCATGTTACAGAGAAGGGAACAGTCTCTGAGAAATTGAGTGACTTTCTGAAGGTCACAGAGAGGGTAAGAAGTAGCACTGGGATGAATATTCCAAATGAGTGTAATTTTTCATAAAATATAAGTTTATTCCTTGAAGTCCTAAAACCATTTTGGATTTCAATGCTCTCACATGTTGTATACACTTTCTTGCCTTCCAAGAGAGAGAATTGGAATATATTTTAATCTTTTACTTAGTTCCCCAAATCATCATTTTGTGTGTCCCTATGTACCAGCTCCCTTCTAAATGGTTGTAAGGAAGCAATTATCACACAATGCCTTTTTCAGGCAGGTATGTCTAGTGTCTCACCATAAAGGCTCTTTAAATTTCTTAGTTTTCTTAGTCTCTATGTCTACTTTTGTAGTTTCCCCATCTTTCCTCTCATCAAAATACAGCAGCTATTATTTCTTGCAGTTATATGCCTTCATCATTCCCACTGCATTCTGCTATGGGCTGAGAAACCACCTAAAGGGCATTCTTAGAATTCAGTAAAACTTGGGGCACCTGGATGGCTCAGTTGGTTAAGTGACCGAGTTTGGCTCAGGTCATGATTTCCCTTGTGTGGGTTCTAGCCCTGCATTGGGTTCTGTGCTGACAGCTCAGAGCCTGGAGCCTGTTTTACATTCTGTGTCTCCCTCTCTCTGCCCCTCCCCCACTCGTGCTGTGTCTCTCTCTGTCTCAAAATTAAATGAAACCAAAAAATTTTTTTTTTTTAATTTAAAACTTTAGAGCCTTAAAATTTAACTGAAGTGCTGAGATACTGTACCTCACATGAAGTTCCTGAGCAGAAGGGAAGCCATGCGTTTTCCCTTGACTGGTCAAACCCCTTTCTTTAACTACATCCTGATTATTTAAATACTAGACAAATGGGGGCTTGGTGGGAGCTGGACATAGACATATAACATTTCTGTGTAATGATAGACTTTTCAGGAAGAATAAAAAAAGCAACCATTAAAAATAATAATAATAATAGGGGTGCCTGGGTGGCTCAATCGGTTAAGTGTTCGACTTTAGCTCAGGTCATGATCTCATGGTTCATGGGTTCGAGCCCCGCATCGGGTTCTGTGCCGGTGGCTCAGAGCCTGGAGCCTGTTTCAGATTCTGTGTCCTCCTCTCTCTCTGTCTCAAAAATAAATAAAAACCATAAAAACATTTTAATAATAATAATAATAATAAAATTCTAATAGGACCAGATTATGAAATTTCAAATGTTGTTTTTACTCTTTATTAAATATAAGAGAGGTAATATTGTAAGAATCTGGGTTTTAGACCTAGAAATACCTAAGTATACAATCTCTCTCCACTGCTTTCTGACAATTGACTTAGGCAAGTTACTTAATTTTCTCTAAGCTTCCATTTCTTATTTTCACCCCTTAAATTGTAGATACTGATTTAAAAAAACCTATCTTATAAAATATGTAAAGTACCTGATATATAATAGTTAGCTTTACATTCTATATAATACACTTGAGATCATATTTTTATTACTTCAAATTAAAATACACTTAGTCTTAAAGTTACATTCGTGGTCTAGAATTTATCACTCATAATTATGTAGCACAAAAGTTTCATGTCATCTTATAAATTCTAAAACTAGCAGAGTTTTATCTTAAGAGTGTCTGTATGGTTTGAATTTACCAATCATCATCATTTGAGCCAGATGGCTTAAATTCAGTAGTTTCTTACTAAATATATGTTGAATGGATAAATAGATGGATGGATGGATGGATACTTGGACACAAAAATACTTGGACACAAATTTAATATTTAAAGAGGATGTATTATGAATGAATGTGTGTGTGTGTCCATATGTGCTAAGAAAATTATTCTAATTAGATTAGAAGCACCATCTAATAAAAGAAGATCAATGTGGCTGTACCTACCTGGACTTGAGCTTGAAGTATGAGGGTCCTCAGAAACATGGAACTGGAAGAAAGAGGAGAGAAACCAAGTAAAGTAAAAACGGATGTGAAGGTAGCACAGAACCTGGTCCAGCTGCAAAGGCTGTCCCAGGAAAAGGAAGGTGGATAGTCTAAGGCTTAGAATCCAAGGGGTACAGAAAACATGGCACTATTCAGGAAACCATTACAACTGTGTGGTCTGGTCTTACAAATGTAGTGCACAGGAATGGAAACTTCAAAAAGGAGGAAATCAGAGGATCTCAGGAAATGGAAAAAGACAGTCTTGGGAGATTTTCCCATTCCCGACAGAGTTGGGGCCTGCAGTCTGATATACCAGGGTGGTGTCCAGCTCTCAGAGAAAGAGACTGGAAGGGATGAAATAGGCTAGTATTGGGGGCCAGAGGGCTAGAGGAAATGGGCAGAGACATACATGGCTGATAAGAGTGTGGGCTAAGGCAGAAACTTGAGAGAATGAAGGTACTGGACCAGGTGAAAGAGAGAGTAGCAAATACTATAACTCTAACCACATGACAACAAAACAGTGGTCATCCCAAGTCTAAGTGTTCAGAAGATTCATGGGAGCCTAGCACCCATGGCTAGGCTGAGTCCTAGATCCCAGGTCCAGGAATGAGGCTCATTTTCAAGTCCTCCTAAATAGTGAAAATGAGGCTAATATGTCTCCCTCACTCAAGATTAGCTTCAGAATCAGGAAAAGCTGGTGCTGTATAGTGTGAGTCAACAGTTCTAGTTATAAGAAATAGGGAAGGCAGAAGGTAGAGAAGCAATGCTGATAATATGTTTCTGTTGAAAATATATTTTGAAAAGCTGCTTGAGGGCAGAAACCAAGTCTTCTGTATCTGTTCATATCTTAGAACACAATTTTGCATAGGTAGGTTAGCAAAAGTTACAATACATCTTTATTCATAATTAGGACTTCCAGTCACTAATTGTAACAAGACCCACTTACCCTTTTTCTCCTGGGTGTCTGTAAACAATTGTGTCCTGGGGCGCCTGGGTGGCTCAGTCGGTTGGGCGTCCGACTTCACCTCAGGTCATGATCTCACGGTTTGTGGGATCGGGCCCCATGTCGGGCTCTGTGCTGACAGCTAGCTCAGAGCCTGGAGCCTGCTTCAGATTCTGTATCTCCCTCTCTCTCTGACCATCCCCTGCTCACGTTGCCTCTCTCTCTCTGAAATAAAACAAACAAACAAACAAAAAACCCAATTGTGTCCTACCATATCCCCCCTGATTCTCAAAAATATTTTCATAGCTTCTGACCTCATGTCTATCTGGGCCCTGACTTCTTTTCAGAGGAAAGTGTGCATTACTTCCATAGGAATTTTCCGTTAATCTTAAACCTCTTACCAAAGGTATTTTGACTCATATAGACTAGAGTTCTGAGCTTCTGCATAATTTTCTCTTCATAGTAGTGCCAAATTTAGTGAAACAAACATTTGTTTAGCCACTACTATGGGGACTAGATGAAAGGAGACAGAAGAATAGTGAGTATTTGGAGCCAATATGATTATGACAAGGTCCCTGTCCTCAAGAAGCTTTAAAACTAGCCAGATAAGCAAATAAAAATAATGAAGAATGCTAAAACTGAATGAAGCAAATTCTATAATGAAGATGCAAAGAACATGGATGCAGGAACAATTAATTCCAACTTAGAGAGTATATATTTCTAATTTCAGTATCACCTCCCCTATGCACTTCCTGGACTCTCAACCAAACTGCACTTACTCTCTTTCCCAAAACGCTGTAGTATTTATTCCAACGTCTGAAGGAATTTTCTTAGACTTTCTACTATCTCAGTTACATGTCTCCCACCCTCAAAGTAGGCTAAAAAATAATGGAAAATTTGTGTATCTGATACGGGTTCTTGGACATAAGGGGCATTAAGCCTCCATTTTTTTAAATGAACAAAAGAACATGTGCACATACACACAAAATGAATGCCTATTGTTCGAGGAGTTAATAATTATTCTTAATACTCTGATTCCAAAATATTCCCCCCAAGCATCCATGATTAACATGTTGAATTAGAGATGGTTCATATCCCACTAGTTTCAAAACAATTGCTTCAGCTATTTTTAATAAAGAAAATTACAAAGTCATTATTCAGTTTTCTGATGTAACAGCACAAATAATTTATGGAAAATCTAAACAAATCACTGCTTCAAGATATAAAATGTATGATATTAATAAAATGAAATTTTACTTATATCTAAGCATAAAAATATTCAATAAAGTAATGATAAAAAACCCACTCTTTGCAGGAGAAATAACTATATTATTAGATTTTTGGTTATTGGTTTAGACCAATATTTAAATTCATTTAAAAAAAGACAATGGTGTAAGTCATGTATACTAATTAAAAACTTGGAATAGAGACCAAATCCAGAATGTGCAACACTGAAACCAATAAATGCATAATTTCCAGTAAAGTATTCTCCTCTAAGTCACAGAATACAGATGATTTTTGATGTAAGCATTCTATTATAAAAAGACCTTGTCTGACCCTTACCATTGTAAACCTCTTTCCCAGACCACACTTTCCACTAGGAATCCAAGAGGTGGCATTCAGTTCCCACACTCAGAGCTCTTAGATCTCTAGTCTTTGCAAATTATTTCCCCAAAGAGTTTGATAAACAAGGATGATTAGATATATTACTTTCCTCTCAATATGGCTATGTAGGGCTAGAGGCTCTGCTAAACATGTGTTGGAGGA